CCAACTGCACTTATAAAGCCTGATATAATATGGCCCTTTCCCCCCTACTGCACTGATAATCCCGGATTGAATGGTCCCTTCCTCCCACTGTACAAATAAACTCTGATAGAGTTGGTCCCCCCACTGTACTGATAAACCCTAATAGAATGGCCCTTCTCCCCATAGTACTGATCATTAAACCCTGATTGAATGGCCCCCTTCCTCCCCCCACTATACAAATAAACTCTAACCCCCCCACTCACTGTACTAATAAACCCTGGTGGAACAACAACAACCCACCTCCAAACCACACCATTCCAAGGATAGATAAACAAATTTTTATATATTGCTTATATTGCTGATAAGACATGACTCACCTAGTACTTACATTACTAGCACCCTGATGTCATTTATCTCCTAGTTAATATTTAATGCATATAGATGTATACATATATATATATATAAAACTGTCAGGTATTAAAAACGTAACTACCTGGAACCTATAATTAAGGCGGCGACATGAACACTGATCATCAAGTTCCGCCTAGAATGATCTAAAATCACATAATTAGATTCAAATATGCTGTTTAGATTAATTTCACATACTGTCCTTGCACATGACTCAATATAGCACTTATCAGATATCCAGTGAGTTCTATAAATACCTAAGATAGACTTATCAGATATCCAGTGAGTTCTATAAATACCTAAGGTAGACTTATCAGATATCCAGTGAGTTCTATAAATACTTAAGGCAGACTTATATCAGATATCCAGTGAGTTCTATAAATACTTAAGGCAAACTTATATCAGATATCCAGTGAGTTCTATAAATACCTAAGGTAGACTTATCAGACATCCAGTGAGTTCTATAAATACTTAAGGCAGACTTATATCAGATATCCAGTGGGTTCCATAAATACTTAAGGCAGACTTATATCAGATATCCAGTGGGTTCCATAAATACTTAAGGCAGACTTATATCAGATATCCAGTGGGTTCTATAAATACTTAAGGCAGACTTATATCAGATATCCAGTGGGTTCCATAAATACTTAAGGCAGACTTATATCAGATATCCAGTGGGTTCCATAAATACTTAAGGCAGACTTATATCAGATATCCAGTGAGTTCTATAAATACTTCAGGCAGACTGTCCCGCCAGGTATCTAATGTATACCTGTCTTGAAAAGTTAATTTCCTACTACTAGTAAATTTATGTTATTTACTTTTGTATCACTATCATACAAAGACATTCTTAGGTTTCATGTCTTTTTAGGGAGCTACAAAAATTTTGAATCATCAACAGTATCACAAGAAAAGTTCAGAAATTATAGACATAATTAATATCATGACTGACTAACAGTAGTGGTTAGCATCCCATTTTTTACTCAACAAGTCCAGAGAGTAAAACCTTGTAGCAGATCAAAAAACATATTCAAGAAAAAACAAAAAAAACATGATATGTAATTAATCAATATCTTTAGTAAATTACTCTTTCCTGTATTAAATGGGTAAAAAGTCCAAGTCAAAATACTGTCAAACAAATTGGAACTCTTTTTCATTGAAGATACAATACAGAGTGCAGGGACATTATTCCTTAAATGTATGATCTATATTCCAAGCTACCCCTAGTGCACTGATCAAATTTTCGTTTTGCTTCATATAATTATTCATTTTATCTTATATATATATAGTCAAAGCAGCTGTACCAAGTAAGGAGATTACAGGTATTCTCGCTGAGTACTGTTGTGAACTATCAGCTTACGTGTACCTATATACTGTACCTATATACACTTATATCGACAGCTCCAATATCAGGTGTGTTAATTAGACTTCAGGGATTATACACATACAGTATATACCTAGGTAAGGTAGGACAATATCCCCGGTTTTGTTCACCGTTATTCTATCTGTATAGAAGGATTAGTGGTAGACTTATTGAACCTGCGACAACAACACCACGAAGGGTCAGGCCACCTCCGTACTCTGTACAGTGTATATATAAAACACTTACCTGGATGGTGGTGCAATAGACATACAGGTACCGCACACTGTTTATTCTCCCAAATATAAACATACCCAGTTAATGTTCTGTTTGCTTCCATACTGTAAATTGGTCAAATAAAGGACATTTCTGTCGAGGTGAGCTCAGCTCCAACAGTTTATTTCTGGAAATTACGTACCAGGGTAAACAATAGCAGAAAATACACATTAAGCGAAATTCTGAATTACTAAGACATCTCCCTTGTAATGTTGCAAGATTTTTCTTTTTTTAATTTCAATAAAAATGCATCGCTAAATTTTATTTTAGGTTTCTATGGGCCATCAATTCTAACGGAGATTTTTATCTGTTTTTTTTTTTTTTAACAGATTAAGGCGTTATTGATCACACCTTTTCAAATTCTCAAGTTGTAGTCTGATTGCCCTAAGGATCCCTGTCCCAGTCCACTGTTTGTTTCCCTATATGTCGTAACCTCCCCTTAACTTCCATTTAGATATATATCACTGTTGAACAATTGACCAGGTAGCTCAATCTGTTAGAGTTTTATAGTTTACCGGCTTGAAGTTTAGGGTTCGAAACCAGGTCTAGCTCTTTGCTGTTTATTTTCTTACCAGAACTGTTGTTGATAATGTTTTATTTGTTTTCTATTTATTATTTCTCATAAAAGTCCCACAAGGTATGGTTTTCTTTTCAGAAATGATTTGTCAAAGTTATAGTCATGTCGGAAAAAAAACAATTTCCAATACTTAGATACAGTTCCTGGTAGTGGTGCAGGGATCTGGTACTTACAATCCAGATTTGGAAACTGGAGTTTTGCGATTAAGTCCTTCACATGTTCACGATAGAGCTTTAATCTGACTTGTAACATGGTTTTCCGTCTGGGCCATACTGTGTTCTGTGGCATACATCTCCATTACATAAGTACTATGGGTATCTTACAATCCTTACCCAACTCTGAGATGCCTGAACATAAATTGTCATGACTCATAAACCAATTTTATCGACTACATGTATTTACGATTTTAAAATGATATTAAAATCCATCTATGCATGTTCATATCTATCTGAGAATCAATTATCTACGTGCACTTGCTTGGAAAGGTCAACGTCACCTGAGAGGTCTACTAACACGACGCACCTGAAATAGTGTATATCGTCCTGAGAACTCTCCACTTACCTGGTATATTAGCATTACCTGGGGTATAGGTGCCTTACCTGTTGTTTACTGGCAGGTGTGTTAATCAGCTGTAGCAGTTGACTTAAGTTCTTACTCTCTCTGTAAAACAAACAGAAAATCACATAAAAGTGGGCTACAGACTGATCGCAAACAAACACTGCAATGTTGAGGTGACATACTTCATCTGTGACGTACATGTAATACATGACATACACCGCCTACAACCCCG